GGAAGGGGTTGCACCTCGGTGGTTTCCTGCTGTCCCTTGCTGACGGGTAAGGGGAAAAGCCCCGGCCCTAGTGGGTTTGGTTGGTGCTTGTGGCCAGCCGCGCAATCGCAGCCTTTAGCCAAGGAGCGGGTGGTGGAGCGGGCGCTCCGGCGTGGCGAGGGGCGAGGGCGGCGGGCGCTGCCTGCAGGATTCCTCCATGCCTGCTCCGTGCTTGCAGGATCTACGTGTACACCCACCGGCGGATGGCTATCGCGGCGGAGGACGTCTGGCTGGAGAGCGTCATCCCGATCACGGAAGGGTTTACGGTGGAGGAAGGTACTAGCACGCTCGGGGCTTCCAGGGTGGCTGCTAAGTCACCTCCAAGGGGAGGGGGACAGAGGGCTTTGGAGCCCATATTTTGTTGTTCTAGTGGCTGAAGTCTGGATCGATTCAGCCGTTCAACGTTTTCCCTTCCGGAGAAAGGAGGGGGAGTCAGGAGGGCCCTGCTAGATTATTTGCCCTGCCATCCAAAGACCCTTCTGTCCTCCCAAATAATAGCCATGGCCTCCTGCGCTGTTGGCTTTGTTCTGCCCCTCTCGGCTCCTTGTGGGGAGCGTTCAGGCTCGGAGGAACCTACTGAGCTCAGCAAGCACAAAGCATCAGCGTGGCGTGCAAACCTACTGCTTTTCTTTCTAACAAATAGTTTTTGCTTTTGCAGTAATACCTGAGAGTGACCTTCACGTCATCGGTGAGTTTTGTTGTTGTGTTAATGCCGTGCTAAAGAGCTCCCTAGGCCCTTCGTCAGCCACGCTCAGTGGGGCAGAAGAACAGGTTTTTGCGCTGCTGGCCCAGGTGTTCCCTCGCAGAGGTGTGCGACGAGCCGAGCGCTTGTCATGCTGCTGCTGTTTGCCATTGTTCAGGCCACGCTAACTTCAGTGCTGCTTAAAGTACCTGCAGCAGCAAAGGCATTCACTGCCCCGAACTAGCAGAATTAAAAATGATGTATGAACATTGATTTCTGTATTTTGTTAAATGGCATTCTTGTGAAAAATGGGAAAAGGAAGCATGGAAAGAAGGCACGGGGAGGCCTGCTCCTGAGGGCATCGGCTGCTGCAGGGGGAGGACGGCAGCACTTGTGGGCGCTTCGTGCCACTGACCCTCTTCTCCCCGCGCTCAGGCGCCGATGTGACGGTCCGGATCCGTTCGGAAGAGGAGCAGCTCAGGGTGCGACTGCCTTTCGGCTCCCACACGCGCGCGTTCCTGCGGGAGGTCAGCCGGTGCAGCCCAGGTACCAGCGC